CAAGATGAACCTTTAGAAAAATATTGTGGCTGTCATAACAGCTTGTAAACAAGACCATATTTGGACAAAGCGATTCTAGGATTACAACACTTTTAAGTCCCCTAGAATAGCTATGACTAGAGAATAGAATGATAACTTTATTTAACCGTATATGCACTGGAATTCTACAGGCATAAATAATTGTGGCATACCTTAAAGATACTGGTTTTGTACTGGCAGCATGGCTGCCAAACTTTTATCGTAATAATTCACGGTAAAGTTTTACAGTGTATGCTTGTCGTAAGAGGCGAATAACGGGATCGGGTGGTCAGGCCCGCGGACGTGGTTGAAGCATGTCATCGATCCCAATTGCATGGATCGATGCTCATATCAATCACTGGATTGTTTGGTCCAGACTGGATTATTTTCATACCGCCGTCATATAGCTGGACTTTTGCTGAGTGCGGCGTTAAAGAACAAACCAAACCATCTGCGTGGATCGATGCTCATGATGTCAGTCAATACAGTCAAATACAGACTCGATTGTTAACAGCCTGGAATGTTGCCGAGTGCGGCAATAAACAACAAAATGTCATCATAATAACAGTCTGTCACTTATGTACAGACTAATGTCATCCGAGTGCGGCAATAAACAACAAAATGTCATCATAATAACAGTCTGTCACTTATTTACAGACTAATGTCATCCGAGTGCGGCAATTAACAACAAAATGTCATCATAATAACAGTCTGTCACTTATTTACAGACTAATGTCATCCGAGTGCGGCAATAAACAACAAAATGTCATCATAATAACAGTCTGTCACTTATTTACAGACTAATGTCATCCGAGTGCGGCAATAAACAACAAAATGTCATCATAATAACAGTCTGTCACTTATTTACAGACTAATGTCATCCGAGTGCGGCAATAAACAACAAAATGTCATCATAATAACAGTCTGTCACTTATTTACAGACTAATGTCATCCGAGTGCGGCAATAAACATGAAAATGTCATCATAATAACAGTCTGTCACTTATTTACAGACTAATGTCATCCGAGTGCGGCAATAAACAACAAAATGTCATCGTAATAACAGTCTGTCACTTATTTACAGACTAATGTCATCCGAGTGCGGCAATAAACATCAAAATGTCATCATAATAACAGTCTGTCACTTATTTACAGACTAATGTCATCCGAGTGCGGCAATAAACATCAAAATGTCATCATAATAACAGTCTGTCAATTATTTACAGACTAATGTCATCCGAGTGCGGCAATAAACAACAAAATGTCATCATAATAACAGTCTGTCACTTATTTACAGACTAATGTCATCCGAGTGCGGCAATAAACAACAAAATGTCATCATAATAACAGTCTGTCACTTATTTACAGACTAATGTCATCCGAGTGCGGCAATAAACAACAAAATGTCATCATAATAACAGTCTGTCACTTATTTACAGACTAATGTTATCCGAGTGCGGCAATAAACAACAAAATGTCATCATAATAACAGTCTGTCACTTATTTACAGACTAATGTCATCCGAGTGCGGCAATAAACATCAAAATGTCATCATAATAACAGTCTGTCACTTATTTACAGACTAATGTCATCCGAGTGCGGCAATAAACAACAAAATGTCATCATAATAACAGTCTGTCACTTATTTACAGACTAATGTCATCCGAGTGCGGCAATAAACAACAAAATGTCATCATATTAACAGTCTGTCACTTATTTACAGACTTATGTCATCCGAGTGCGGCAATAAACATGAAAATGTCATCATAATAACAGTCTGTCACTTATTTACAGACTAATGTCATCCGAGTGCGGCAATAAACAACAAAATGTCATCATAATAACAGTCTGTCACTTATTTACAGACTTATGTCATCCGAGTGCGGCAATAAACATGAAAATGTCATCATAATAACAGTCTGTCACTTATTTACAGACTAATGTCATCCGAGTGCGGCAATAAACAACAAAATGTCATCATAATAACAGTCTGTCACTTATTTACAGACTAATGTCATCCGAGTGCGGCAATAAACAACAAAATGTCATCATAATAACAGTCTGTCACTTATTTACAGACTAATGTCATCCGAGTGCGGCAATAAACATCAAAATGTCATCATAATAACAGTCTGTCACTTATTTACAGACTAATGTCATATAGCTGGAGTATTGTTGAGTGCGGCGTTAAACAACACAAGGACAAAAACTGATTCCATCATCAAGGATCACTTTCTATCCTTCATATGTCCTATGGGCAGTAATCCCCAATTGGGTACTCCCCGATTGTAAGGTGCCAGTGGCCTGTAGCCTGGTTTTGATTTATATAAACAAATTGACTGAACAATTCTTTGTTTTAATGGGCGGTCGGGTAGCCTAGTGGTTAAAGCGTTCGCTCGTCACGCCGAAGACCCGGGTTCGATTCCCGACATGGGGACAATGTGTGAAGCCCATTTCTGATGTCCCCCGCCCTGATATTGCTGGAATATTGCTAGAAGCGGCGTAAAACCATACTCACTCACTCACTCACTCACTTTGTTTTAATATAGATCAGGTTTGTTTTATATCTAAACTGTGATTGTACCTCACTGTTTTACTGTCCTTTGTCGACAGGAATTTTATTATAATCGACTTGATCTCATCGCCATATTGTTGCAATATTGCCGATGCGATGTAAAATTATAACTCACTCACTCACTCACTCCTATGGACAGTACCCAAACAAAGAAAGAAAGGAGCTTTACCAATCTGCAAATATGTGAGATTTGTCTCGCGAACACCTGCTTTCATCACTATGTGGCAGTAATTCATAAACACATGCTTAAAGGGCAAGTTCACACGGAAATGAACTTAATTTTCTTGTACTTTTTCCACAATAAAAGTGTTAACCTAGAAGTGTCATAGACAAAAATATAAAAATATCACAATTAATTAACATATGTTTTGCATTAAAACGATTTATATTTTTCACATTTACCAAGTGTTCTATTTCCATAACAAAAGCACCATGGCTTATGCCCCTTGCAATATGACGTCATTGGTGCCAATTGATAAACATTATGACGGCATCATGCTTTGTTAGAGCCGCTTCACGTGGTGTAGGTACAGGTGTGTGATTCTAGCATCTCAGATGCCAGCCAGCATAGTGTTATGCTGAGTCACCACTGCGCCGGAGTGTGTCGTAGGCCATGTTGTTTTACCGAAAACTTGTACTTGATATCTTTTGCGTTCAGAATAGACAGGGACCCAGTTGAATTGGCACCAATTACGTCATAATCTAAGGGGTATAACTAAGGGGTTTAGCTCGAAAAACGAAGGCCTCATAACGGCATATCATTTTCACACTATTGTGAGCTTCCTACTTTCACTGTGAAAAAATTGAGTGTATATTTTCACACACAGATACTAACTAATTCTAAAATTGCGTTTTGTTTAGAAAAAGAAAGAAAATAATTTTTGCGTGTACACTTCCCCTTTAAGGTACAGTGTGAGTCGTACTATAGACTCTGCTTAATGCAAAGATTTCTATTGGATATGGAAAGGGTTTTGTTGCTTTATTGACAACCCTGCACTGTTAAGGTGTTGTCGCACTAGGCTTTGTTAAATTATAATCTAATCTAATTGCTTATGTCGTTGTTGACGTTTTAGATCACTAGTTTTATGGCTTGTGCTTTCTCACAATTATGTTCTGTAATGCCGAGATTGCACTATGGCAGCAACGTGCGTTCATGATACGTAGTTGAAAGGAATACAATGTTGTTCTTTAACTGTAAAGACATGGTATAGGTCCACAGAATACATTACATTTCAATGGTGGTGTTTCATACAGATGAGTTCAAATTACACTATGTTCTGTATAACGAAATACAGTGTTGTAGAGAAGGCAGTTTCCAGTGATTGCAATCTGACATTTCACATACAGGTACAGTGGATCAAGAACATGTGTGAGTTTATGGTCTTATCAAAACTACCTGTTGTTTTTTGAAGGTCGCTGTAATTACCACAGGGTTAAGGGTACTTTCAGTATGTGAAATATCACCTGGAATGTGAGAGAGCTCAAGGTTTGTTTGAGAGAACTACATCGTGTATTTTTCTGACAAGAACATTAATAACATAAATTTAGTGAGTAGGGTTTTACGCACCTTTGTACCAATATCACGGTTAATCCAACTATTTGTTAATACATCTACGTGTATCTACTGCGCGTTGTTTAAATAATGCTCTATTTTAATTTTCAAAAATAGAGCCACAAGGCTCTGTAACTCACCTGAATTATTAAGGTACAATTTTATGATGGTTCGACATTACTCTTGTAAACTCGTCTGTGGTGAGGTTAAGACAAATTGGTGAAAAAATATTCCAGGAATAGAAACACCTGCAACATAGTTAAGGATGTAAAAACCACAGTGGCTCTTCAGAAGACGTTTTAGGATGTTTTTCGGCACATGATAACATGTAACCCTACTATGTATGTCAACCCATACTCCATACACGTATACACTGTTCATTTAGAATCGCGATTCTTCAGAGAAAAACAAGGTACGTTATTTTGTTGGTTGGTTGGTAGGTTTCTTGTTTAACGCCGCACTCGGCAATATTCCAGCAATATGACTGCGGTCTGTAAATAATCGAGTCTGGACCAGACAATCCAGTGACTGACATCATGAGCATCGATCCACGCAATTGGGATCGATGTCATGCATCAACCAAGTCAGCGAACCTGACCACCCGATCTCCTTTGTCGCCTTTTACAACAAGCATAGTCGCCTTTTACGGCAAGCATGGGTTGCTCAAGACCGTTACAAAGGACGTTTAACGACGACTTCTTGACCCTTCATTAGCTGAATGGAACACTATTCATATGCGTGTTCAGAACATGTAAACTTTCTTATTTTGTTGAGTATAAATAAACTGATTAACCTTCAGTGGAACATTCCCAGGTTGCAACACTGAAACACATTACGGTTCAGGTATAAATTGCTGACCCAGGATCACAGACCCCAGAGACTGCTTGCGAGGCACCATGTCTCAGCTGTTGCCTCTTCTTCTGTGTGCTGTTGTTGGGTGTTCCCTTCAGGGAGCAGCTGGACAATCAACCAATGCAGAGGGCCAAGTGGGTGCGGATAAAGGCGAGTAGCGAAATCATTTATTATCTATTACCTTCATCAACTCTCAGTCCTTAACAAAATAGGTTTCACCTTTGTTTTATTGAGTCACCTTTCAGTGACTGGGTGATTTGATTACAAGTCAGCTAACACTAACAGCTAACAAGAAATAAATAGTAAACTTGTAAAAGTTCTGTGAAACATTTTAGCACGGGTGTACATGCAGTAAAACTGCTGTTAACGTTTAGCACAACACACTCTTCGGTGAACTAATCTATGCATCATCCAAATTTAGTTCTAGCCTGTGTCATTTTCGAGATTAATCAAACATAACTGTAAGAGGTTTGTATATTATTGCATTTTGCTTCTTCTTTGAATAAGACCTGGATGTTTCGTAAATGGAAAGGTTTTACGAAGTATATTCCAGATGTATGTTTGAAACTTGTTATACGCATCGATCACACACCATGCGTGTGACTAAAACTGGACCCGTGAAGATTCCGGGGTAGAATAGGTCTTCAGCAACCCATGCTTGCCGTAAAAGGTGACTATGCTTGTCGTAAAAGGCGACTAACGGGATCGGGTGGTCAGGCTCGCTGACTTGGTTGATGCATGTCATCGATCCCAATTGCGTGGATCGATGCTCATGATATCAATCACTGGATTGTCTGGTCCAGACTCAATTATTTACAGACCGCCGTCATAAGCTGGAATATTGCTGAGTGCGGCGTTAAACATCAAAACAACCAACCAACTAAAAACTGGCCAATGATGTCCGTAGTTTGGAGCAGATGTAAACCATGTTGCTTTGAAGCATCAAGCATATGATCTGGTGATGTCTCAAAATTTGTTTTGTTTGTTTGTTGTTTAACGCCGCGCTAAGCAATATTCCAGCTATATAATGGCAGTCTGTAAATAAGCGGGTCTGGACCAAACAGTCTTGTGATTGACATCATGAGCATCGATCCACGCAATGGAGATACGATGACAAGTAGCGAGCCTGACCACCCGATCCCGATTATCGCCTCTCACGACAAGCATAGTCGCAGCTTACGCTAAGCAAGGATTGCGGAAGATCTATTCTCTTCACGGGTCCTCAAAATTTGTCTCTTATTTTTCTTAAGTTTTGTGTTTACTGCATGTGTTTTCTTAAATAACAACAGATATCAAAATACAAAGAGAGTCCTATCTGTTTCAAGATCCACTTCAACAAAATCATTGATGAGATTGGATTGAAAATAGTTATGTTTTATGGAAGATACATCAAAGGGTAACCTTCCTTTTCCGTGTGGCCTTTTGTAAAGGTATTAAGGGGATAAAGACAGATCTACAATATCCACTTGAAGGTCTGGTTTGTTTCCAGGCCGCCGTCGCATGGCAGTTGTTGTGAGTTGATTTGTTTGTTGCTTTACGCCGCACTCAGCAATATTCCAGCTATATGACGGCGGTCTGTAAATGATCGAGTCTGGTCCAGACAATCCAGTGATTGATATCATGAGCATCGATCCACGCAATTTGGATCGAGGACATGCATCAACCAAGTCGGCGAGCCTGACCACCCGAACCCGTTAGTTGCCTTTTACGACAAGCATAGTCGCCTTTTACGGCAAGCATGGGTTGCTGAAGACCTATTCTACACCGGATCTTCACGGGTCTCATGTGTGGCGTCAGGCAACAGACGCATACTTTTTATGCAAATTGTTTGAGTGGCGGGTGCTACAGGTAGCGCAGGAGATGTTTATCCTTTTTGTGAACACCTTGTGTCATCACTGAAGGGTAATCGAAACAGGCTATTCCCTGGCGTTGATGCTCTATGTTCAGATTGTACTCATATCTTCATGGCTGACATTAAGTGTTAAGCCCTTTTTTTCAGTAGGTATTTGATCACTGCACGTTACTTAAGTTTGTCCAATTTTTAAAAGGCACAGATACCTGCTTATTTTACTGACTTTACGAAACATAAAATCTTTGTGGATATACCTCTATGACATCATAATCTGTCCTGGGGCGGTCGGGTAGCCTAGTGATTAAAGCGTTCGCTCGTCACGCCGAAGACCCGTTTTCGATTCCCGACATGGGTACAATGAAGCCCGTGAAGCCCATTTCTGGTGTCCCCCGCCGTGATATTGCTGGAATATTGCTAAAAGCGGCGTAAAACCATACTCACTCACTCATAATCTGTCCTCAACAAAATATGGACTTTTCTGCAATTCCTTCTTTTTGAGGCTCAAAAGTTACCAGTCACCCTTCGTACGCTATTCATGGACTGTTTCCGTATTTTGGTTGCTGTTTAACGCGACGCTCAGTCAAGTCTCATCCAGACAATCCAGTGACTGACATCATGAACCTAGATCTTCACGGGTCAATACTGGATTGAACTGAGCAAACATAGGTCAGCGTAGATCACGAGCAAAATGATTGCTGTTTCAGATACACTTAAGGACGATGTGGCCTTCCTTGTCAATAGTATACGGACAATGGTGCAAAATCAGCAGAAACACGTCATCAAAGAGGGCATTTCGACTCGCACACTGAAACAACATAGTAAGTTCAACATCTGTTTGGTTTGTTGTAGTTCATTGTATTATACAAATGTAAGTGGTATACCACTTCTTTGTTTTGTTGTTGTTGGTTTCACACTGAATCCCTTTGCGTACAGAGACATGGAGACATTCGGATCCCGCACTCAGCAATATTCCAGCTATATGACGGAGGTCTGTAAATAATTGAGTCTGGACCAGACAATCCAGTGATTGACATGCGCATCGATCCATGCAATTTGGATCAAGGACATGCATCAACCAAGTCAGCGAACCTGACCACCCGATCTCGTTAGTCGCCTCTTACGACAAGTATAGTCACCTTTTACGGCAAGCATGGGTTGCTGAAGACCTACTCTTCCCTGGAAGATCAACATCTAGTTTCAAGGAAAATATTGTTGCCAACCGAGATGCGGTTACTGAACTCCAGTATTGCTTCCTATAAAAACAAATCAAATCGTTTGGAGGGAGCAGGACAGCGAATGGTTACCGCAGCTATTGTCATTCCAATATTTAGAATCACACTGAAACTAAAGTACTCACGAAAATATAAACCTCAGATCTTAAATAAATGCAGTTAATATACAAAATATGTAAATATTCAAACAACTAAATTAGTACTAATTGGGCCGTGGCACAAATACAGCGTACATGTATCAAATGTTTTTATGCCTTTTTACACGTAAAAGTGTGTAAAAATGTGAATAAAACAGACTATTGTGAAACAGGGCATAACCAGGTGTAAGTAGATCAAGGTGACCTATGACACCTTGACGACAGGTGAGAACAGGTGCATAATGCCTATAGTCTGTTTCTGCTATGTCAATTTGGACTTAGTTTTATTTTTGAATGTTGAAAGTGCCGACAAATTACCTCCTGTAAAGTACATTTTGTATTGTTCACTGAGATCAAACTAGCAAATCCAGACTAGTACTTTTCGAGTTGTTTTGTTATTTCGTATTTACAGCTACGTAACACTTTGTGTCGATTTTTAAATTGAGAAAAACAGGGTTTTTTCATTTCCGTGAGTACTTTATATTCCAGAGTGAGTGATTGACTGATCATTCTGTAGCATCCCAGTTTAGCAATATTCCACCTGTAATCGATTTGGGACCAGATACATCAGCGACATGTGATTCACAATCCGAGGCCATCGGTGCAAGAGGGTAAAGGGGGGTCATGGAGGCTATCAAGACGATCCTCTTATGACAAGAGGACCCGTGAAGATTCCGGAATAGAATAGGTCTTCAGCAGCCCATGCTTGCCGTAAAAGGTGACTATACTTGTCGTAAGAGGCAACTAACGGGATCGGGTGGCCAGGCTTGCTGACTTTGTTGATGCATATCCCAATTGCGTGGATCGATGTTCACGATGTCAATCCCTGGATTGTCTGGTCCACACTGGATTATTAACAGACCGCCGTCATATAGCTGAAATATTGCTGAGTGCGGCGTTAAACAAAGAAACAAGCATGCAAATTGATATGGCATAATTTTATAGCTGTGGGACGATACTTTTATTGTAGTTTGATTGCGTGGATCAGTTCGACCAAAAATGTAATATTTTTGCACAAAAACTCATCAATATATTGTTTTTATCAGCTGTGTTCATTGATACGAACGTTACGAAATGTTTAGGATTTCACAAATTGTGCCCACTGCTAATAATCTTAAAAACAGGCATTATATCTTAATTAGGCCAAAACTATCCTACCTGAGTAGGAGTATGGGAGATCGGAACCTGCTTCATCCAGGAAATAGGATATATTCACAATGTAATGCATTTATGAAATGTTGAAGGACTTTTTCCTTTGAACGATCTTCATTTGGTTACATTTATTTTAGACATGATTATAAGTGAACAATTTCTCAGAAACTTATGTGATAAATATGATTCAATTTTCCAGATGTAAATGCTATATTTCATCTTACTAGATTTATTTACCAATACTATAATTGGTAAATATGTTAGAAACATAATTATAACCAAATTGTTACCCTATTTGCTTTTAAGATCTACATTGTCATCCCTTGTTGAAGGATCATCATACATGTAGTTCGACTCTAAAATCTATTTTCATTTTCGCTTTTGAGCTTGATTGTTGCAACTGTGTCACGTGAGTGAGTGTAGTTTTACGCCGCTTTTAGCAATATTCCAGCAATATCATGTGGGGGACACCAGAAATGGGTTCGACATACTGTACCCATAACGGTTACTATGTAAGGTGTCGGCATATAATGGGAATATTGTTGGATGCGACAACATACAAAAACTTACAACGTGACATTCTACATGACTATTCAATGTTTTCAGTTTTGGACATCAACGCCACACTGCACAGTCTCAAATATGTGATGGACAAGAATGTAGAAGAAGATTATCACCGTTGCCTACTACCAAATTTTCGCCCCCATCACAGGAGACGTCATCCTCCTCCTCCGCCCCCTCCTCGTGGCCGTCATCCTCCTCCCCCTCCTCCTCCTCCTCCTCAGAAGAGTGGTCCTGCCACTTCACTGCCATCTCATCATCTAGTTCAACCTACGATTAATGGTGATCCTCCCCCTTCGCATAAGAGCGATCCTGTTCCAAAGCAACCCCCTGCTGGAGACAACAGTGGAAATTCTAGATCCTGGGGACTGATCTAACTTTGGTAAGTAGTGCATTGCATAAGATGAAAACGTGATCATTGTGAAGGATATATCAAGAATTGAACTTGGACATCTGTATAACCTTCACACACACACACACACACACACACACACACACACACACACACACACACACACACACACACACACACACACACACACACACACACACACACACACACACACACACACACACACACACACACGCGCGCGAATGTGAATGTTATACAAATGTCCTATAATATATATACATATATATATATTCACACGCGCAGACACACACACACACACACATATATATATTCTCTTTCTCACACACACACACACACACACACACACACACACACACACACACACACACACACACATATGTAAAATAGAGATGTCCGATCGTATACTGTTTAATGAATTTGACAGTAACGATAACAATTATCACCAAATATTCCTTTCATATATTTGTATTTTACTTCCAGGAATCTTCTACATCATCAGCCGTGCACGGGCATAATGAGTCGCAGTACGAAATAAATGATTGAGAATATCTCAACTTGTGTTACTTTCATCAAAGGAATATATTGGCAACCTTTTCTACAAGTTTTCTGCAGCCTTGAGAAACACTCGATGTTCAGGATGACCCGTAAAGATCCGGGTTAGAATTAGTCCTCAGCAACCCATGCTTGTCGTAAAAGGCAACTAACGGGATCGGGTGGTAAGCCTCGTTGATTTGGTTGATGCATGTCATCGTATCCCATTTGCGTAGATCAGTGGTCATGATGTCAATGATGTTGTTTAACGCCGCACTCAGCAATATTCCAGCTATATGACGGCGGTCTGTAAATAACCGAGTCTGGACCAGACAATCCAGTGATTAATATCATGAGCATCGATCAACCCAATTGGGATCGATGACATGCATCAACCAAGTCAGCGAACCTGACCACCCGATTGACATCATTAACATCGATCCACGCAATTGGGATCGATGACATGCATCAACCAAGTCAGCGGGCCTGACCACCCGATCCCGTTAGTCGCCTTTTATGACAAGCATAGTCGCCTTTTACGGCAAGCATATATTATGGTCGCCTATAGATGTTATGTCCTAGCCCAACATGACTGTCTTATCCAAGAAGATGCGGGTTAGAATTGGTCTTGATCCATCACACTCCAGACATGTTCCATGCGGGCGAGGTCTGGAGAAACAGCCGGCCATGGCAATACAGCAATGTTATAATGCCTCAAAAAGTCTGTTACAACACGTGCAACGTGTGGACGGGCATTATCCTGCTGCAACGTGACGTTACAACCCTGCATTTGCACAAAGGGTAGAACATGATCCGAACAATGTCGTCCCGGTAGCCTACACAATTCCAATTGCCATGAACGGTGATGAATTGTTTTCTCTCATGAGTTGTGATACCACACCGAAAAATGACGTCGTTGAGCAACGCAAGCGTTGCTAAAATAGTCTCCTGGACACATGTGGCCCCTTGCCTGATCATCAGAGCTATCCAGATGAAACCTGGACACATCTATGAACAGTACACTGTCCCAGTTTTGTCTTCTGAACCTTAGATGCTGTCTACACCAAGCTAGGTGTACATGGCGGTGACGTGGAAGCAAAATTGGGCGTATTTCTGGACCTCAGAGCCGGATGTTATGCTCCCTCAACTGGTTGCATACGGTTCTGCCACTGATTGGTCACAACCAAGGATATGTCTGAGTTGTTAATGTGGCATTTTGGTATCGATTAGGTAGATGTGCCAAGCAGGTCTTCTGTACGTGACGTCACACGTTGATGTAATCGTTATTCATTGTGTGCTGTTCTCTTTTTTTTAAAAACGTGTGTGAGTATAACAAACACTCAAATATCTCAAACTGTGCACCTTGCATAAACATGTTCATGCAACTTGTTAATCAATTTACAGTCGAGGAGACGTCTTCATGAATATATATTGAAAGATATATTTCCGAATACATATAAATACCTAATGAACAAAGACTCCATCACAACAGTTAGTTATGAACATAAACCCACATTATAACAACACCTGGCCACTGTCTGTCGAATAACCATCTGTCCTAAGGCATTCGTCGCTGATGGGGGCGGTCGGGTAGCCTAGTGGTTAAAGCGTTCGCTCGTCACGCCGAAGACCCGGGTTCGATTCCCGACATGGGTACAATGTGTGAAGCCCATTTCTGGTGTCCCCCGCCGTGCTAAAAGCGGCGTAAAACCATACTCACTCACTCACTCACTCGTCGCTGATGGCGTCACTGTCGGGAATCGATTCCGTAGATGCAAAGTACGCAAGTACCGGTCTTCATTGGGCATAGTTAGCCTGGATCTGCCTGTTCTTGGCCTGTCTGATGTCTGCCCGGTCTGTCTGTAACGTTGAATCAGGTTAGTTACAGCAACACGGGAGCAACCAAACGTTCTAGAAATGTGTCCATGGGTGACTCCCATCTGTATCATACACAGGACCCGCTCGCGTTTTTCGGGTGTCCGTTGTGGCATTTCTGCGGTGTGTGTTTTCATCAGTTTGAGTGTCTGACATGCCGTCCGTATCATTATTGAATGTGTAGTTGCGGCATCCCAAACGGAACGTGTTTTTTACTTTTTCGCATTTTATACAAGAAAACGTACGTGTATCACTTTCTGCACAGAGTATTGTTGTGTTTGGTCGATATGTTTTGCATTGATTTAGTTTGAACTTGGGTTTTTAATTTGTGCAATAATCATTTATAAAATGGTGAAGTTTCTTTTGGCCGTAAGTTTAGTTCGCCATGCGTCAGAGTGAACGTTCTTTTCCAACAATACAGATATACGGGTGCGTCAGTTTGAACACTCCTCTCTTCGTGTTGCCACCTGGTGTTTCGGAATTACTACACTATTGCTCCTCCGTAGATATTGCCAAATGCACTCACGAAATGCAATGTTAGATTAGAAAGATAACGTCACTTGCTGCTAGACGCGGGCGAAGGAGTAAGTTGGTCGTAACTCTCTACTTTTAACATATGTTGTTTTGCAGTTTTGTCTGTTTGTTGTATAACGCCGCACTCAGCAGTGGTCCATCGGTCTGTAAATAAGCGAATCTGGACACGACAAACCGGTGATTAGTGTTATTGGCAACGAGACACGCCGTCGGGTATCGCTGACACGTCATCTACACATGGTCTGACCTTTGGATCCATTAGGTCGCCTCGTATGACAAGCATAGGTTAATTGGAATTAGGGGAGGGGGTTATTCTAATCTGTTTCTTTTGAACCAAATGTATGGCCCCGAGTCAATCTACTACTACTACTACTACTACTGCTGATACTACTACTACTGCTACTACTATTACTACTATTACTACTACTACTACTACTACTACTACTACTACTACCCGGGTCGATCGATCAGTGTGTACTCCGTTTTCATTCTCAACAATTTCAATTTACTACTACTACTACTACTACTACTACTACTACTACTACTACTGCTACTACTACTACTGCTACTACTACTACTACTACTTATCCAAATTGCATGGATCGATGCTCATGATATCAATCACTGGATTGTCTGGTACTGACTCGATTGTTTACAGACCACCGTCATATAGCTGGAATATTGCTGAGTGTGGGATTAAACAAGAAACCAACCAACCTTTGTATGCCTATAATATGTTTCAATTAGCCGATGGAACAATATTACTTAAAAAACAAAGGGAATATTTGAAATTCAGGGATAGAAGTTAGCGCCAACCCGAGCAGTTTTGTTTTGATGTTAAGGTACCAAAGGGCTAGTAGAATTTCAAATTGGGAGGGGGGTGCTATATGTTGTCCCTTTTCGGACTCGTACTTTCTTGATTAATTTCCACCCCTGAAATTATAGAATATAGCACGGTTATGGGCCGGGAAGGCGAAAATCAATCCCTTAGAGTTAGAAATTACGTTCACCTTCCCGGTCATCACAAAAATTCTTATTATGGCAGATGATCGCCTTCCCGGTACTTGTTAATTACAAAGAAAACACCAATGAAATGAGGACACTATTGGACTATCTGGACAACAAAGTCAATATATAACAAGTATAGTATAACATATCATATGTCATGCATGTATTTGAAGATGTATATAGACATACATTTTATCATTTATGTAATAATTCAGTTCATTCCCAGTGCAGTAGATCTGCCACATCGTCAGTGTAGTCCATTGTTGTCGTCAATTGGTTCAACAGATCTTCTTTCAAGGCACGGAGTCGAGAGTCAATCACTCGGTATTTTCTCTTCCGAGCAGGTGCCCTTGGGTGAGCGCCTAGCTGCTCAATCCTCACTTCTGTTAAAGATTGTTCACGTTTCAGAAGATTCACTACCTCGAAGATGTTAGGGTGAGTCTTCTGGGCGCTCTTGTTCAGGTGATGATGCCATCCTTCAAGGTTGTTGTTTGTTCTGCGTCCCTGGTTTCCGAAGTGATTCCACAGGTCCTTGCTCCAAGATCCTTCTACCCATGTAGTGGTATCATAGTGCATGAAGCGCGTCACCTTGATGCCTTGAGGACTGTCTGCAATCGCATCAACCATGTCTAGTGGCACCAAGGGAAGGGCAGAAGCTCGTCTTACAACCTTCTTCACTTCTTCAACGCTAGTGTATTCTGTTGCCAGTCCTTCCTTCTGTACGCGTCGCCACATACTCTGGGTAAAGTGAAAGAAGCAGCCTCTAGTATGTGTAGTTGCGAACACAGATTGAACGGCGTTGTGGGCAGCGCGCTCAAAGTCTAGCTGAAACACCCGGGGAGTCCAGTCAAAACCTAAGTTGTGTGCAGCCTCTTGGATGTATTCAAAAGCTCTCACGTAAGTACACTCTGCCTTGTTTGGTAGAAGACAGAATATAAGAGGGAACATATGCTCTTGAAACTCAGCATGAATGGTGTACACTTGGTCGAACAGCTTCGGAGAAGACGAGAAAGTGCCATCTGCATACACAATGTCTGCTTCACACAACAGTTCTAGGTTCTTGTCAGTAGTGAAGATAAGGATAGGGTCTTCGCCTTCTGACATAGGTACCGTATGAAGAAATCTCTCTCCTCCTTGAGTACGGGTCCACTCTCCTTCTAAGTTGACGTGTAGTCTACTTTGGGGCAGGCGTGGAACAGTCTTGTGACGCTGGCGGTAAAGGATAGTCTTCATCGCTGCAAAGGTCGTGATCTCAGCCAGCACACCATCAGGTACAACGTCATGGTTCTTCCTCAGGTTGGCGATCTCATCATCGTAGATCCTGGGTATAGGAGTCACCTCGGTCTTGGTACGATGAACTAGTTTCGATTTGAAGGCATCAACGTGCATGATGAAGGGCTGTTCTACATGGTTGTGTGCCTGTCCTTGTGACTGAAGGACATCATCGGAGGTGACGAGTTTGGCCTTGCACTGGCTGGTGACACACTTCCAATAAGTCTTCTCATCAGTCTTCTTGTTAATACGATACTTATGACCACTGTAGTAAAGATGCTTGCCGCCACGAACAGAGTCGATGAAAATCAAACGTACCTGTGCATTAGCCATCGTTTTGAACGTTAATGATCTTAGGTAGTATTATGGATTTTACGACCGCTTCAGCCGTTGGCTATTTCGCAGTCGGGGCCAGACGGGTTAAACAATAATAAACAATAGTGGGTAATACATAAGTAATCGGCTGGCCCAAAAAAATGTAAATTAGGGGGGTTAAAGAAGAAAGAAATATAGTAAAGGGGTGTGAAGGGGAAAGAAGTTTAGCAGTAGTAATGTAGAACTGTAAGAAACCTAGTCTAAGGGAAGTAACTAGTGTAGAGACTTAGTATGATATATAATCAGTTAAGCTGATATGCTATGTAATAATATGTATTATAAAATGAAAAATAACAGTGGGGAGGGTGGAAAACCTATCATAAAAAGTTTGGGCTTACTGGCTGGGGTAGGGAGTCAGGAGAGGGGGGGGGGGGGGGGGGGGGGGGGGGGGAGTATTGGCCGTGCGCGTGGGTGCTGAGCTTGGGTTGGTGGCTGGTTAAACGGTCATGTTTATTATAGTATGGATATGAGCGAATTTGTCGCGCGGACGTCGGAGAAGTCGGTCCGCGCTGAGAATTTGGATCCCGATCCTAAATTGTAAATGTGTTGGTTTTAGATATAGTGTATATGCTGTAATTTGTTGGGATTTTTCTAAAGTTTGCTTATTAGATTTGTAGTTTTAAGGAATGTGGCTATATGGGTAAATTTAGCGGTATGGTTGAAGGGGTCTAGAAGCAGTTGGATGTTGTTTTTGAGCTGTGGGGGAAGAGAGTTGTATAGTTGTGTTTGTTGTTGTTTATATTGTGAGCAGTGGTTGAATATATGGTCTAGTGTTTCAGGTGTGTTGCAGTGTATGCAGTTTGGATGTGGGTGTCTGTTTTGTTTGTGGAGTGTTTCGTTTAAATTAGTTTGGCCGCTTAACATTCTATTAATGATTTTATCTGCTAAAATGGACTTTGTGAAGTTCCGACACTTTGTGACTGGCTTATTAAAGAGGGATTTTGTCAAGATTGACTTACAATTTTGAATATTTGTTTTGAAATTTTGAGATAATGTGTTTCTTTTGATTAGTGATTTTATCTCGGCTTTACTGGTGGTGAAGTCAATACTTGGTGATGGTTGGGTGGTGGCTAGTTTTGCTGCTGTGTCTGCTGATTGGTTGCCTGTTATGCCAGTGTGTGCAGGTGCCCATAGGAGAGTTATTGTTTTATTAGATTCTGTGAGTTTTGTGTGGATGTCTATGATATTGTTTATTATGTCTTGCCTTGATTTAGATTGTTTATTATGAATTTGGGTTAGTGCGCCTAATGAGTCTGAAATTATAAGGAAGTTAGTGTCAGTAGATATTTTTATGTAGTGATATGCACATTGTATAGCCAGTAGTTCAGCTGTGGTGATATGTGTGTAGTTGGTATAGTGGAAGTTTGTGGTGATTGGTATAGGTTGTGTGATCTGGATGCCTAGTCCTGTTATGTCATTATTAGTCTGTGATGCATCGGTATAGATATGGGTGTGGTTGGGCCAGTTTTGATGTATGTAGTTATTAGATATTTCTTTTTTGTCAAGGTTTTTGGGGTCAGGATGTGAGATGAATGTTTTGTGGAGTGAGAGGTCTGTTTCAGGGGGGGGGGTTGTCATTTATGAATATGTTTTGGGGGTCTATGTGTTTGATGTTTTCTAGCTTGTATGTTTTTAAGAGTTTATAGAGATGTGTGAGATAGGGGGCTAGTGTGTGATTGTTTTTGAATTTCTTTAAGGTGGCAGGTCTAAGAGTGTTGTATTTAGTGATGATTTGTTTTAGGATGGGGTTTTGTTGGGCCCCAGCCCAGTAGTTGAGAGTGGTTTGATTGCGGCGGAGTTGGATGGAGGTGGTTCCTGATAGTAGCTGGAGGGTATTTAGGGCTGTAGCGGTTCTGGTACCCAGGGCTATCTTTAGGGCTTTATATTGAATGGAGTTTAGTTTGTTATTGAGTGTTTCTGATATGGAGTTGAGGACTGGAGCAGCATAGTCAATCTTAGATTGAATTAGTGACTTGTATATATTAAGTAATGTTTGTTTGTCAGCGCCCCAATCAGTGCCGCTGATGGCTCTCATTAGATTTAAGTCTTTTTGACATGATGTGACCAAATTATGAATATGGGGAGCCCATGTTAGGTGCTGGTCAAAAGTAATTCCCAGAAATTTAGCTTCCTTTTTGAATGAAATGGTTTGATCATTAAGGGTGAGTTTGGGTGTACAATTTGGCATATGTCTATTTTTGAAGAGTAAGCCGATGGTTTTATTAGTGTTAATTTGGAATCCCCACTGGGTTGCCCAAAGTTCTATATGTTTCAGGAGGGGTTGAATTCTTTTTTGGATCTCTTTTAGAGATGTTGACGACGTCCAGAAGGAAATGTCATCTGCGAATTTTTTTAATTTTAGATGGGAAAATGTCGTCAATCATAAAGTTGAAAAGTGTTGGAGAGATTATACTACCCTGTGGGGTGCCGTTGTCTAAAGGATGTGGGTCAGATAGAGTGTTGTTGGTTTTAACTGTGATGTTTCTGTCTGTTAGGAAAGAGTGTATGAAATTTAGAATTCTACCATCTATGGCTTTTGCTTTAAGTTTTTGGATTAGGCCATGATGCCAAACCATGTCAAATGCTTTACTAAAGTCTATGAAAATGGCCACAGTATATTGTTTTGGGGCGAGTGCTGTTTTAACGTCATGTTCTAGATGTAAAACGTGGTCTAAAGTTTGTCGATTAGACATAAAACCACTCTGGTCCTCATTAAGTAGTTTTTGGGATGAAATTTGGAATTTTAGTCTATTGTTTATGACGGATTCCATTATTTTGCAAATATGGGAGGTTAATGAGATAGGGCGGTAGGAATCCGGTTCTTTGGGGGGCTTGCCTGGTTTGAGAAACCGGTACTACTAGGGCTGTTTTCCAAGAATGGGGGAGGGAGCCAGAAGTCCAAATTTGATTAAATAATTGGAGAAGGAGTTTTTGAATTTTAGGGGGGAGGTGGTTAAGAATAGTGTAGCTAATGTTGTCTGGGCCTGTGGCTGGGGCTGTATTTTTGTTATTGATGGCTGTTTGTAGTTCATGTATGTTTATTGTTTTATTGTATGACATGCTTGTGAGGGGTGGTCTGGGAGAATAAGTGGGGTGGTTTTTAATAGTGTCTTGCATGATGGGGGTGTGGTTGGCGGAGCTGCTAGTAGCCGAAAAGTGAGCAGCCATGGCGTTAGCCTTTTCTCTATCTGTATTTAGGTTAGGAAAAGATGGGGATGAGAAGGTTTTTGAAGTGCCCTTTATGGCTTTAAGTTTTTTCCACAAAATTTTAGTATTTTGTTTCCCCATTTTCAAGGAGCTGTAAAAGTTTGCCAATGTTTTCTTTTGGCTGCTCTTATAAGTTGTTTAGTTGAATTTCTGAGATGTTTTGCCAAGGGGAGTTTGGTTATGTCCCTCTTGGCTTTATTAAGTGCCTTTTTTCTAAGTTTTCTGGAATTTTCTATTTCTGAGCTCCACCAGGGGACAGTGATATGGTGCGGTGAGGTTTTGACTGTTGGGATGCATTGGAGGGCTATATTGTGAATTGTATTTGTAAAGTTTGTATTGAAAATGTCGTTGTCAATGTTGTGTATATTATGTGTGTTTATTTTATTGCAGAGTGTGTGGAATGTTTTCCAGTCAGCCTTTTTGAGATTGAATTTGGGTTGCTGGGGTGTGTTGTCTAATGGGGTGGCAGTTTGGGATTGGGGTAGGGGTGGGGTTGGGGTGGGTAGGGATAGTGAAATTTTGATGGGCGTGTGATCACTGCCCCAGGTGTCCGAATGGGCCTCCCAGCAGAGTTTAGGATGGAGATGGGGGGTAGTGAAAGTAAGGTCGATTGCTGTGGGGGATTGGAGGTGGCTTGTGGGGTACCTAGTGGGTTGGTTATCATTTAAGCAAATAAGGTTGTTTAATTCTGACCATTCTTGAATTAGTTTACCGAATCTATCTGTATAGTTTTTTGTGCCCCACAGTGGATGATGAGCATTGAAATCGCCTAGAAAGATGGTGTTTGGTTCAATAAATTTGGTTAAGACATTAAGGTCTTCAACTGAGAAGGGTTTTGTTCTGCTATGATAGACATTTATAATACTGATTTTGGTTTGGTTTATAGTTGTTTTGATGGCCAGGCATTCCAGATTTGGGGTAGGAATATCTATTATGTCATAGTCAAGATGGTTTTTGATAAAGATGCCCAGGCCGCCGTGTGGTGGTCCTGGGCAGTTAGTGGGTCGGGGTCTATCTTTTCGAATGAGAACATAGCCTGGAATTTTGAAGGTCTTTTTGGGAGATAATTTAGTTTCTTGGGCTGCGATTAATAATGGAGAGATTTTTTGAAGGGCGATGAGGGCCTTAAGCTCATGCCCATTGGTGGCGATCCCGTTGCAATTCCACTGGATGAACACCATTAGCTGGTTTTAGAATGAAGGGGAAGTTGAATGGATGGTGTTCCGGGGCTAATTTGGAATAATGTAGACAGAGTTTCATTTAAGGGTCCTTAAGGCTGCCTGGAATTGTTGTAGGGTTTTTTGGTATATGTTTGCTTGGTGGGCTAGGGAGTGGAGTTTCTTGGTGGTGGGGTTTCTAAGGAGAATGGCTGCTGAGATGAATTCGATGATTTTGTGTGTATTTGAGTGAAGTTTTTTGGGTGTGACTATGACTTGGGGGGTTGTTTTGAGTGTTTGGAGTTTGTGGGAGAGTAGTTGTTTTCGTGTTGTGTTGATCCTGTAGTTGATTTGCTTGTTTTTGTGTTGAGGTTGGTTTGATGGAATTGGAATGGCTGATCTAGCTGGATGGAGGGGTTTGGGAAGGGACAGGTCTGGTTGGGACTGTAAGGGTGTGGGTGGGTCAGAGGGGGGGGCTGTTTGAATGGAGAGGAGGGCCAGGATGGGGGGGTTAGGGGGGGGGGAGCTGGACAGGAGGGATTATGAGGGGGGATTGGTAAGGGGCTGGGGGCAGGTGGGGTTGGGGGGTGGGTAACAGAGCCAATTTGGGAGCTGTTTGGGGATGGGGCTTGTGGGGGGGGTGTGGGGATGGTTGGGGGGGAGGGGGGTAGGGAGAGGGAGGATGTGGGGGTGGGGGTGGGTAGTAGAGGGGGGGGGGGGTGCTTGGGAGGGGTTATCATTCCTGAAGAGTTGTTAACGTTTTCTCCCTTGGGGGCGGGGCGGGGGGGGGAGGGTTTCTGGGAGGGAGCTGGACAGGGAGTCAGTTGTAGAGTCGAGGTCGATGAAGTCGGGGATGGAGTTGTATATGGGAATTGTAGCTGGTTTGGGTAATTGGGCTTTGGTGATATGTTTGTTGAGCTTAAGGATGTGTGACTGTTTGATCGGGCAGGTGTTTTGGGTAGCTGTGTGTCCCTCTGATTTACAGTGTATGCAATATGCGGCCCATGTGCATTCTGGGGCTTCATGTCTGTATGAGCCGCACTTTTGGCACATGGGTGGCTGTCTACATGTGGATGTTGGGTGGGTGAATGAATGGCATATGGAGCATTGGGGTGGGTTTTTTCTAACTGGGTTGACTTTGAATGTAAGTGTGCCGAAAGTAATGTGTGTAGGGAGTTCAGTTGTTTTAAATGTAAGAAATATTGTTTCGGTTGTTGTCCTGCCCGGGATGGGTGTACGATTGTTGATGCTTTTGAAATGTATGATCTTTGGTTGGGTGTGAAGTTTGTTTGCCATGTTGATGTAATCTTGGATGTCTTCTTGTGTATCCCTGTAATCTATGTAAATGACCCCTTGTATCTGTGTAAACCATTTAGGCACCTGCCATGTGATGTTGAGTCCGTCTATGATTGGTTGTCTGCTGGCGTGTGTGAGTGTTTCGTGGTTTGGAAATGTAAGTTTGTATCCCCTGCCGCATTTGTTTATGTATTTGTATGTAATGTTTGCTTTGTGCAGGCAGAGGGCGAATTTGTTGGTGGAAAAGGTGTCGTTTAACGGTGTGGATGTTGTAGAGAATGCGAGTAGAATGTGTTTGGATAGTGTAGTTGTTTGTGGGGGGGGTTGTTGAGAGCAGGTTTTTTTGGTAGTTTGTTCTATTTCAGGGGGTGAGTGAGAAGGGCGTTTTGTTTGTTTAGGTGATGGATGTTTGTTTTCTGTTTGGGGTTGAGTGGCCTGGCTTGGGGTTTGGGGTTGTTGAATTATAATATGGGGTTCAATGTGTTGATGAGAGGGGGGGTGGTGTTTTGGAATGGTTGGGTTTGGGGTGGGGGGAGAGGGGGATGAACCTGACGGGGGTGGGGGGAGTATAAGGTTTAGTTCTTCCAGGTCGAGGCCGAAATCAAAGGGGATTGGGTTTGTGTTGTGTGTTGGGGTGAGACCTGGAAAGTGTTGTTTACTATTGATGGGTGTGGTGAAGAGGGAGTTGGATTGGGGAGATGAACGAGGGGGGGAGTCCATGATGGGGACGTGTTGGAATGGGGGTTGGGGGGTGGGTGGGGGGGGTATGAGTATTGACAATGTGAGTACAGTGGGGGGGGGGGGGGAACACAGTAATAGCACAATAGTATAAAGAAAAAGGGAGTAAGTAAGCATGCAGTATGGGAGGAGGGGATAAAGGTAGATATACTTAGCAGTAATAAAAAGATTGGAGATTGTTGGATGGATGCCAGTGGTTTTCCAGACGGAGAGGCGAGTGAGTCTCCTAGTCCGGGGGCCAACTTGGCCGTGGAGCGATAGTGGCGTTCGCTGATGTAGTTGGATAGTCTTAGTTCGATATCCCTGATTTGGTTAGGTTCGAGATCCCAATTTGGGTAGGAAGTAGATTTGAAGGAGGGCTAGTGCACAACAAAATGTCGTCCGACCATGCCGGAAGTAAAACGGTTTGTGTGTTTTGTGTGCTGTTAATGATCTTCTACATATAAAAATCTTATATACTTCTTACTTGGGTTTCAGAACAAAGAGACATCCTACTCACATTTCAAACAACTTTTGCGTTAAAGTCGCATCTTCTCAATACAAGATATAGTAGTAGAGATTAACTGATTCCCGCGTGTTGTTATAGCTTCGTCGTTTCTTTACTAGATTACTTAATCTGAGTTCAATGCAAGTTAGTAATCACATTCTCTGAGTTCAATTTTAACAAATTTAGTAGATTATCTCTTTCTTTATTTTTCCGTCTCACGAGTTCAATGGAAGTTAGTAATCACATTCTCTGAGCTCAATTTGTTTTATCTCTTTCTTCACTTTTCAATCTCACAACACCCCAGTGTCCTCAATGTATAAGTGTCCGTTGTATACATAACGAGGGTACACATCACTGTTCTTTTTTTGGTCTGGCGCAAAATCCACGCCTTTAGAGGTTTAAAACGACATAAAAAAAACACCTAGCATTAACAACTCAACCAACCCCGCCCAAAAAGCAAATAATCTCGCCAACCACTTTTCGGCCGTTAGCAGTAACTCCAACTTCAGCCAAAAATTCCAAGAAAAACTTAAAACAGAAAACAAACCCACAAAAGAACCAAACAATAACAATCTGGAAATAAACCAACCCTACACAATGGAGGAGCTCCTCTACGTAATCCAAAACAGGAAAAAGGGCACAGCCCCAGGATTAGACCTAACTTCTTACCAAATAATTAAAATACAATCTCATCTACCTAAACGGACAGGTTCCTACTCCCTGGAAACAGGCCCTAGTCATACCAATCCCTAAACCTAATAAACCAGCTAATCAAGCTAACTCATATAGACCAATATCCCTAACTTCAAACTTATGTAAAGTAATGGAATCAATGGCTAAAAATAGATTACAACATTACCTAACCCAAAAAACCATCATAAACCCAGATCAAAGCGGTTTCACTCCTGGCCGCTCAACCCTAGATAACCTCGCCCGACTAGAGCAAGATATAAAGACAGGACAACTAAATAAACAATATACCACAGGCATCTTCTTAGACTTCTCTAAAGCTTTCGACATGGTATGGCACGACGGGCTAATACAAAAACTTCAAAAAATGAGGACTCAAAGGTCAGATAATAAACTACATCCAGGACTTCCTAAACAATCGTAAAATAACCGTGGGTATAGACCAAACACTATCGGACCAATGTCCCCTAGAAAATGGCACTCCCCAGGGCAGTATCCTAAGCCCCACCCTCTTCAATATAATGATAAACGATCTATTCGAGGGCCTATCCCCTAAAGTAAACACATCGAAATTCGCGGATGATGGAGCCCTCTGGATCCGCACTAAAAGCATTAAAATGGCCCAAAATTTACTCCAAAAATCTCTTAATAAAATACAACAATGGGCTGACAAATGGGGCTTCTCCCTTAACTCAGAAAAAACAACAGGAATAGTATTCAAACATAAAAACATGAAACCCGCCTCCCCAATCCTCCAGCTAAACAACCAAACAATCAAATTTAAAAAACAAACCAAATTCTTAGGACTTATTTTCGATGAACATCTCACCTGGGATGCTCACATCCAAAACCTAACAACTAAATGCAGTAAAGACCTAAACACCCTAAGATGCCTAACTGGCTCTAACTGGGGAGCCTCCAAAGATACCCTCCTCTCTCTCTACATATCACTAATTAGATCAAAACTAGACTACGGCTGCGCCATATACAACACCCTAAACAACTCTCTATCTAAAAAACTTGACTCAATACAATATCAGGCCCTCAAACTAATTACACGCACCCAACATGGCACCTCCTACACTTCACTTCAGGCCTTAACAGGAGAAATGCCACTAAGTCTACGCAGGGAACAGCTAAGCTTAAATTTCTGGGCCGCGTCCCAATCAAACCCTCTCATCCAAAACTTAATAAACCAAAATATCAGCCCCAAAAACCAAGCTCTAGCTCGTAAACACCCCTTACTTACCCAAATATCCCAAAGAATAACAATCTACCTCAATGAACACCAAATTAAAAATCTTAAACAAAACTGCAAACAATCAAATAGCTTCACCCCTAAACTTAAAATACCCAAAATAGACACAACACTAGCTAGCCAAATAAATAAACAAACCGACCCAAACATAGCTAAAACCCCCACACTAGCATACATACACGAAAATTGGCCAAATTGGTGTCACATTTACACGGACGGATCTTCAGATCCGACCTCCAAACACACAGGTTTCGGAGTCCATACCACACAACCAACTAAAACCACACAATCCTTCCGACTCCCAAACAACCAATCAATATTCACGGCAGAACTAATGAGCATGGCCTCAGCCCTCTATAATCAAGAATCCAAAAAACAAAAACAAAATCCTAATACTTACCGACTCCCTAAGTGGACTGCAAGCCCTCCAAAACAAAAATACCAAAAACCGACCTAAATTAATAAATCAAATACTTAAAAGCTCCAACGACCTATCTAAGGCAGGCAAACAAATAACCTTCTTGTGGATACCCGCCCACGTAGGAATATACGGTAATGAAAACGCCGATAAAGCAGCTAAACTATCCCTCAAAATCCCAGAAATAAGCTTAAACTTACCAATCTCAAAATCAGAAATTAAAAGCGTAAACAAGCAAAAAATCACCAAACAAATGGCATAACCTTTATCTAAACTCAAATAGCCAAATCAAAAAAGTACTCAGCAAACCACTAACCAAACCAAAAATTCTCCATCCATCAAAAAAAATCGACAGAGTAATCACTAAACTCTAAACAGGACACACCAACCTAAATAACCATCTAATTTTTTTTTTAAAAACATACTACAGGTAACTGCCCACACTGCAAACAACTAGAAACCCCAGAACATGCACTCATCCACTGCACACATTACCTAACACATCGAACCGCATTACAAATCACCCTCAATCTAAACAAGGCTCTCACTCTAGAAGCAATACTAAACCCACAAAATAAACTAGAAAACTTCAAGGCCCTAGGCGTATTCTTAATCAAAACGGAACTAATAAAACGCATCTAAAAACACTATAATCTACCAAATCAAAATTACATAAACAAACAAACATCCACCATACCCAGCTCCCTTAATTCTCCTCCCCAACCCCATCGGCATCTATTCCAAATCTCAAAATTCCAAAATTCTATATAAGCAACCCCTAAAGCCCCCTCTTGGGTTGCACACACCACTTTCGCCCCTTTCGGAAACACATTAAATGGCCTGGCCGGGCCCGTGTGCGAAATACGCATCAGTCGGAAAGCGCACGTTAAATCTCCAAAGTAAGTAAGTAAGTAAGTAAGTACTGTTCTTTTCATTCGCCTTCCCGGTTCCCTGTCCCTTACCCCTCCATTCGCCTTTCCGGTACTACTGGTAAAAAGATTTTCGACTTCCCGGGCCGACACATATAGCACAAGCCCGTTAATCGTGTCTTTTAGTGCAATCCTAAAGGTATCCTGAAGACTACAAGTTTCAGGTTGTGGTTTCTTTTCAGGGTCTTTTTTTTCGGGATGGCGTGGATGAGAATGACAGGTTATATTAAACTTTGTTATTAATGTTAGGGCTAGCTAATCAAAACTCATTATTTCGTGTATAATGCGCACCCCCTTCTGCACAGCTGTGTTTTTTGGAGAAATTAGTGCGCGCTATACTCAAGAAAATACAATAATTAAAACAATATTAAAAGGAATTTTAATAAAATTTATGAAATAAGTCCACTTTAATAGCCAGACTGTCATTACATGATTAAATTGCGTACTTCAGTATGGATTTGTTGACATGATTAATATGCGTACTTCAGTATCGATTTGTTGACATGGTATTTCCAGTGTTATTTGCTAACGGTAATGTCTTTCTGTTCGGGGGGGGGACATCAAAACTCATTATAGCATGTATAATACGCACCCCCTTCTACACAGCTGTGTGTTTTTTTAAGAACACTATACTCAAGAAAATACGGCAGTAAAACATTTCCCTTTTTAAGGGTTTTGGTATATGTTATCATTATGTGGACTAGTGGATGAAAACTGTTAGTTTTCTATCGCCGATCTGATATGTTGGCAGGTGTACAGCCGGGAAGCTGCAGCAGCTCCACCCCCACCAGCTGGGGCTGGGGCGGGACCCCCTCCTGCCAGTGGACGGGCTTCCTACAGAGGTGGGGCAAAGGAGCCCCGGCCTGGGATGGCGGGAGAAGTACCTCGGCCACCCATCGAGGAGATAGCATCTATGTCCATAGGCACTGGAGATGCTAGCGAGGTGGGAAGGAAGCGATCTGACTTCCGTTACACTGATCTGAACACAAGGCCAGCACACATAGCTGATAAGAAGGGTAGGAGGAATTATTGTTACCATGGTTACTAGTCCAAGCTGTATTCTGGAATGAATTGATTTTTACAAAGCACAGTTCAAACTGACTTTTTCAGTAAACCAGTACACATGTAGATCCGGCTTTCAACTCGCAAGTTAAAATACTGCAGTCTGTTTGTTTCATGAATTCTGTGGCAGAAATATGTTAGGTTCTTCACAAAGTAGTTTTCTGCAAGATAGCTACATTTCTGTACTGAGTGGACGTCACATTTGTTGCAAAATTTTCTGCGAAAGCGCAATACAGCAGGCACTGTTACTCGTATTGGAAGTGGTTATAAAATAATGATTTATCCTCCAAACTGATTGGTCAGCAAACTCAATCAGTTGTGTCAGTTTGCTGTTTCTGTGTTAAGTTAGTAAAACTAGATCACACCTAAAAACAAATACTTACTTCAGCTCTTAATTTCTCAAGGGGGCACGGATGGCCCAGTCATCTATGGCGCCGTGATTCGCTGTGCAGAGTTGCATCCCTTGGGCATGTCAGAAACCTATGATTGTGGGTTCGAATCCCGGTTCGCCCCGATTATGTTTCTAGGTTTGTCAGCACCATACCCGTGCTCGTTGGTTTCACCAAAGTGGTAAAGGTCTGAGACCTGCATCACTTCGGGCTTAGCTTTGGTGAATGTTGAATGATGCTGAGAGTTTAGGAGTATTTGAATAGTTCATGGTGTTCATTGAAACCACACAAGTCAGGAAAGTTTCTTATTCTTCAGTTCTTTTATCATGTGTCTGATGAAACATCCCTGGAAAGTATGAAAACGTGCAGACTGCCACACACTAGTGGACAGCGTAAGACATTGTCACTAGTCCCATAGTCCTTGCCAAACTGCCCAATAGTTAAGGTATCATAAGGACTAGTAGAATCTTTTCCTTTTCAGGGGTTTTGCTATAAGTTATTATAAGGACTAGTGGGTTACAATAGTTATTTTCTATCGCGGAGGATATACGGATATTGCTTGAATATGTATCCCTGGGTGCCTGGGCATATTCTAATATAGTTGAGATTAAGTGAAGTGTTGTGTTGCAGGAACCTCGGGCCGCCCCATGCCTGTTTTGGCAAATTTCTTCCGCCTGGAGACTGCGCCGGATTGGATGTTGTATCAGTATCATGTGGACTTCAATCCAACCATTGACTCCAGGAGGTTGAAGAATGCATTGTTAATGTCACATATTGAAAGTCTGCTTGGAAATACTCGGGCTTTTGATGGCATGATTTTGTACTTGCCCAGGAAACTACCACAACAGGTGAGTTTGATTGATAAAGTTTTGTCTCCTTATTTAATGCTACACTGAGCAGTATTCCAGCCATATGATGGCGGGCTGTAAATAATAAAGGTTGGGGACAGATATTCCTGTGAGCAATTGAGCATCGACCTATGCAATTGGAACATGACATGCATCAACTAAGTCAGCAAATCTGACCACCTGATCCCGTTACTTGCCTCTTATGACAAGCATAGGTTGCTGAAGACCATTATAGCCCAGATCTTCATGGTTGATAAGAAGGCAAATGTTAAGAGTTTTCTTGCTTATCATGAAGTAGCATTTTAAGGTTTGGTTGAGGGCATGGATACATGCAACTGGGTAGGCATGTGGGGGATTCTGGGTTAGAATTGGTTCCCAGAAACCAATGCTTGTTGTAAGAGGCAACTAAATGGTTCAGGCCTCGTGATTCAGTTCATTGCTTGTTAACGTGTCGCAATGGCTGAGATTGTTGCTCATAATATTAATCATTGGACTGTCTGGTTGATGCTCGAATATTTGCAGGCAACCATCATAGAGCTGAAATATTGTTGAGGGGTGTTTATATTATATACAGGGTTAGATCTTAACACTAGCCCACTATTCCGGGGCTAGTACAAATTACTGCGGGCGAGTACAAATTTCCCTATTTCCCCATTGTTTTAACATTACAAGGGCATCTTATCTTTACCCGGGCTAGTAAAGTTTTTGCGTTCTGACCCTGAGTTAAACAGAGTGAGTACAAGTGTTTAGTTATGTGGATGAATTGGTATATTATTGTATTGTTTTACTAAATTGAGTTAAAATATGCTGACTGTTTTCTTTCAGACAACTGAAGTTTACTCCAACAGGAATTATGACAGTGCACAGATCCGTATTACGATCACGCTTACGAACGAGCTGCCACCAACATCACCACAGTTTATTCAAGTGGCCAACATTCTCTTTCGCAAGTAAGTATCATTGTTATCTACATGAATTATAAAGAATGCCTTTGATATGGGATGACAGGGCTCGGGTTACCTATGTAAAACATGCACCAGTGCAACCTATCATTGAACAGTGCTAACTAATATTTATGTCTACATGCGCCAAGTGAATGTCAACAATTTGTCTGACTAACCTGTACTCAACAACGATCTTTGAAAACACTCCAATCCCTAAGCTTTATGTACCATTCAACATCAAAATGGGGGTACTTTAAGTTAATGTGCACATTTTACTATTGCGTCTTACAGTAATACGTAATTATTTATGTGAATGAAGCCCATTTCTGGTGTTCCTGTCGTGATATAGCTGGAATATTGCTAAAAGCGGCGTAAAACCATACTCACTCACTCACTATGTGAAGTCAAGACATTGTATGTCAGCGTAGCCCAATGGCATAGATAGAGTTCATGTTGGCAATCACTGGTTTGTCTGGTCCAGACTTGATTATTTTCAGATGACTGGAATATGGCTGGAATATTGCTAAGTGCGGCTTTGAAGAACAAACAACCAGACTCGGATTATTTACTGTACTATATGCTAATGTTTGTTTACTTTCAGGTACCTCTCCATGATCAATATGAAACAAATCGGAAGGCATTACTTCAACCCAACATTGTCTATAGACATTCCCAGGCACAAGTAAGCATGTTATAGATGATTTGTCTACTGTTATTCCCTGAGTGTATTTTAGGCCGATGCTGCTGCAAAAGCAGCACTCAACAAATCTGTGACACCACTTCTCATCCCATAAACTGATTATAAACCCGTGATTAGATCTTACATCTGCTCAAACAAATAGAACTACAATTGTCTGAACAACTGAAATTGTCGTTCTATTTCATAGGTGTCATTCAGTGTCTGCTCTAGCTTAAATTTTCTTGGGGCCACTTGGACCCCTTCATCATAATATTAGGGGTCCCAAACAAAAATGGAGGGGTCCAATTTATAGCATCATAATATAACATAAACAACAGAATACAGTGGTTGTGAAAAATCAGACATCTTTTCGCAATTGCAAAATATCAACAAACAGGCAAAGTGAGAGAAAGGTTCACATCAGGGCACATCCTGCTCTCATGACCAAGAGGTTCACATTAAGGGACAAACAATTTCTTAAAATGGAAATTTGATACTAATGAATATTTTAACACAAAACTATCCATCTTAATATCTAACTTTGTAAATGAAAAGGCAGTACACGGGTTATCAGCCATTGGTAAGGGGTCATTGGGGCAGACATTTGTGAATGTTTATATCTAGATCTTGATTTGAAGTTTATGGATTCAGTCAAGTTCAATGGCTGTTCTGGTGCTACTGTACTGAGTAGTGAGTTCATGTCGTAACTGTGACAATAATCAATGAGTCATTACATAATTGGGATATCAAACTGTATTTTTAGTAAGAGTATGTTCAGGATCCAGCATTTCCTTCATAAATCTAGTCAACAATGAACATGTTTCAGGTGCTATAAATGTTAAAACATGTCAGTTACACTAATAACGGTTCTGGCAAAATGTGTTTTGCAATGTTTAATATAATACACAAGAGATTGAATTATAATCAGCTTGATAAGTCTGTTGTAGAATAACTAAATATTCAGTGTCCACTAAATAAAAACAATGCTTACCTAAACCATATAACCCACACAGGTACTTTGTTTACTGAACTTGGTAAAGAAAATCAGCATCGATCAATCCAATGAACAACAACAACAACAAAATTGTGAATCACATATTTAATAAGTTTATAAGCGTGCCCCATTACGATCCATTATAAATTAACTACCGCCATAACATAGCGTACCGTCCTACACGGTCGCTCGATTTTGCGGGTCACTGTTACCACGTTCTGAAGTATACCCTTGATGTGCCGGGCTATTTTTAGTTTGACACAAGGTTGGGATATTTTCGACCAATCATCAAGCTAAATGAATATACGACTATACCCGACCTGCTTAATATGCGGCACCTGATTGGCTGAAGCAAAGCTACGGACCATACCAAACATTGATACATGCAAAACCGAAAATAGATATAGGTCAAGAAACCGGTTTGGGTATTTGTCATAAACAAGGAAGGAATAATGAAACTGGTTTGGTTTAGCAAATGGAAGTGTTAATCAACATGCTTCCCTGTCTTGTTTGGCAACAAATACCTTTACGCAAAGACGTACGCCTTTGATTTACGATAACAGTGTCAGTTCGATATGAAATTAAAAAAGCCCCAGTCACTGCGTCCACGAGACCCACACATGTTACGCAGGTGCGTTCAAACTCATTTTTGTGCGTCCAAGACAGAAAAACGCGCTCTTCAGCCAACACTGTTTAAAGTCGTCGTGAAAGGCAACTAAAGGGATCAGGTGGTCAGGCTCATGACTTGGTTGACGCATGTCATCATATCCCAATTGCGTGGATTACTGGATCGCTGGTCCAGACTTGATCCTTTACAGACCACTCTCATATAGCTGGAATATTGCTGAGTGCATTGTTCAACACCAAACAAACAGTGACTTGGTTGATTGCATGTCATCATATCCCAATTGCATGGATCATGGTGTCAATTACTGGATCGCTGGTCCAGACTTGATCCTTTACAGACCACTCTCATATAGCTGGAATATTGCTGAGTGCATTGTTCAACACCAAACAAACAGTGACTTGGTTGATTGCATGTCATCATATCCCAATTGCGTGGATCATGGTGTCAATTACTGGATCGCTGGTCCAGACTTGATCCTTTACAGACCACTCTCATATAGCTGGAATATTGCTGAGTGCATTGTTCAACACCAAACAAACAGTGACTTGGTTGATTGCATGTCATTGTATCCAGATTGTGTAGATCACAATATCAGTCATTGGCTTGCCTCGTTCCGAATCGATTATTTAAAGGCCACTATCATATCGCTGGAATATCTTTGAGAACAGTCTTAAACAAACACTTCTCAAGTAGATATCCACGGTAGATGACAACATTAAGAGAGAAAAATGTCGAATTGAACTTACCTGAAGTATCGTAGGAAGTTAATGGGGTTTTTTCTTTTGTAGGTACAACAACAAAACTTACAGAGTGGATGATATCGATTGGGACAAGAATCCTCTGGACACCTTCAAGATGAGCGACGGCTCCCAAATCACATACAAGGAGTATTACAAGAAGGTCAGTGAAGTTTCAAGATGTTATAAGAGCCATGTTCAGGCTTGTAGATTCACACGGAGGAGAGGGCGGAGGAGAGATATAAAGCGTCCAGCCGTCCAAAGAACCCCGAAACTGATACACATTTCTTCTTGAATTTTGTTTGTTTGTTTGTTTGTTTGTTGTTTTACATTTTCATGACAACAAGTTGGACTTAAACTGAAAATGAGGGTCGTTCTAGTTTCTGGTGCAGAACTCCAAAACCATTTGGATATTTCTGGATGAAACCTGCTAAACACATCAGTCAAGTGGTGAGCTGATGCCTTTTGATAATTTTGAATTTTGAAATATACTAAACAGATTATGTTTTTTTTCACTGAACTGAAGGTATCCAATGAACCAAAAGTAGGGTATGAATAGCACCAGACCAGGGCCCCGTTCCTCAAAGTGATCGTAGCGCTAAGGTGATCGTAAGTCCCATACTTTTACATAGGCTTACCATCATCGTAGTGCTAAGATCGCTTTGAGGAACGGGGCCCTGGGGGATATGTCATCTCCTGATGACTCTTGTTTTATTTGTAGTTTAAAGAAGAAATATCTATTTTGAGAATTTGTCCACTCAAAATGTCATACCATCATCTTTCTCATTCAGTCTTATGAGATCACAGTCACAGATGACAAACAGCCACTGCTGGTCTCCAAACCAAAGAAAAGTGACATCCGACGAGGCCAGACAGAACCAATCTACCTTCTGCCTGAACTGTGTACACTGACTGGTCAGTAATGAATGCTTGTGAATTTGCATCTGTCCAATATAGACACTCCACTCGGTTTGTCAGATGTTGCTGTAGTCGAAATATAGAATTTACATATAGTTTCAGGATCATTTGACTGTATTATGCTGCAGACGATCATGTCGACAGGCTTTGGTGTCCTGACCAGTAGATAGTAATAAAATACCATTTGTAATTTGGGAAAAAGGGTAGAAATGTTGTAGTTTAATTTGAATTAATATGTCCATAAATCTCTCATCCAGGCCTGTCTGAAGAAGTTCGGGCAGACTTTAACGTGATGAAGGACGTGGCAACCCACACATGCATTGGGCCAGAGGGCAGGAGTAAACAGTTGACAGCATTCATCAACCAGCTGAATGCGTAAGTTAAAGTGCTTGTGTCCCCTACCATTCACGTTTTTGTATCAAATTGTTAGGCCTTGTACTTAGTGAGACCGCCTCCGTGGTCTAGTCGTAGAGCGTCCGCCCGGAGAGCGGATGGTCCGGGGTTCAATCCCCGGCTGCGTCATACCAAAAGATGTTAAAAGATGGTACTTGTTACCCTTACTGGCGCTTGGCATTAAGGGGCTGAAACAAGGACTGGTCGGCTCAGAGTCAGTATACTGTGTCTGAGTGGGGTATTCATGTTAAATTGTATCTCAGTGGGCTAGCACAATAAATCGGCGTCAGTCCGGACTAGCACAATAAATCGGCGTCAGTCCGGACTAGTACAAGCAGCCGCATGCACATGGCTATATCAGTTCAATAATCTCGGACGCTACGTTAAACCCCATTTCACCTCACCTCACTTAGTTAGTGGCTTCAGTACAAATTACATAGACTACTGTTTTGTCTTCCACCTATATACGGTAATCACCAGCGTTCATTCTAGTTGACAAAATAGGAAGGGCCCTTTACGCCAGTGTTTGTTTGTTTGTTGCCACACTGAACAATATTCCAGCTATATGACAGCGGTCTGTAAATAATTGAGTCTGGAATGAATCAAGTGATTAACATCATGAGCATCGATCCACTCAGTTGGGATATGACATGCATCAACCAAGTCAGCAAGCCTGACAAACCGATCCTGTTAGTCGGCTCTTACAACAAACTTTCTATTTACGGCATGGGTTCCTGAAGACAAATTCTTGCCCGGACCAGTGAATGACGAAAGAGTCGGTCGTGTGTGGTTTGTGTGCTTTTTGATTGGCTAATGTCAACTTCCTGTTGGTTGATCAATTTTGGGAAATCTCATTCTGATGTGACCTGTAATGAGATGTTTGCGAGCACTATGACCTGATTTTACATGTCAGATACTGCACCAAAGGTCCTTAGAGCGATACCTCATTTCCTGTTTCTATGATATGCTAGCATAAGGTGTCTCACTCTGTTTTGGAGTTTGCAAACTGCACACTTCCGATGCACATATTGGCAAGTAAAGCATGCTGAAGATTTCTCTGTCATAAAATAAGGCAATTAAGATTGGAAACCATGTGCCCAACTCTGCATGTTGGCAATAATTATTGAGAAAGAAGCCAAGATGCCAGGCTCTAGAATGACCACTGTCATTACCACTTGAAACCCTCGGCTTCTGACGTTAGATGATTTGCCAATGCTTACTAATGATGCTTTCTTGAGAAACTTTCTGATGTATTTTTGCTTGTTTCAGTGAACCAAAGATAGCAGAAGATATGCGTGGATGGAAACTGCGCTTCCAGCCACAGTTGTTGCCGATACAAGCTAGGGTTGTTCCTCAGGAGAAAATTCGACAAGGCAGGGATGCTGAGGTAATACTTAAGATTATCTGTGCTTTGTTTGCTTTTCAATGGATGGCATCTTACATTCACAGCCAGCAACCGATGCTTGCCGTAAAAGGCGACTATGCTTGTCGTAAGAGGCCTTGCCTCACACCCATGAAGCAATCAAATGTACCAGATACTCTGTTGTTTGAACGAACACAAGCATTTTCATTACTGAAGATAAGAGGCAATTAATGGGATCGGGAGGTCAGGCTCACTGACTTGGTTGATGCATGTCATCGTATCCCAATTGCGTAGATTGATGCTCATGTTATCAATCACTGGATTGTCTGGACCGACTCGATTATTTAAAGATCGTCGTCATATAGCTGAATATTTCTGAGTGTGGCGTTAAACAACAAACAAAACATTCACAGCCTGTGCCAGGAACTTGCCAGGAGGTATCATGCCCCAACTCAAAACATAATTTTAGTCTATTTTTTAGCGTTGTATGGATCAATATTTCTAAGCTTACTAGACTTGGACTTCGGACTAGCGGTTAATGTTAGACTGTATTCGGCAAAAAATCGTCGTACATTATACCCATGATAAATTGAATAGCATGTGAGCAGTTCCAACCACAGATTGTGTCAATGTGCTTTTATTTTAGGTTCACTACAAGCAAGAGGATGCTGATTGGTCAAGGGATATGCGAGGCAAGCATTTGCTCGTACCGGTCAGCCTGGAAAACTGGGTAGTCCTGTCCACTCAGAGAGACTCTCCATTGGCACAAGACCTGGTGCAGACTCTAGGCAGGGTTGGACCACCCATGGGCATGAACTTCAGCAAACCTCTCATGTATGTATTTCTTTCACAGATGTGTTGAGGTGGTGGGGATTTTAAATATGTACAACTCTTTTCCCTTTTTTAATTTGCCAATGGTATGAAATATGTACTAGTATGGATGTAGACGATCATTAAAGAAGCTTTCAGTATTTATTTCTGGGACAAATCAGTATGTTTCACAGGAATTGGACATTAACAGGGATTTATCTAGGTTTGCTCAGAGGCTGATAATCGTCCCCAAGTGTTCAGCAAATGCCATTTTCATCAATCCCAATTGCGTGGAATGATGCTCATGATATCAATCACTGGATTGTCTGGTCCAGGCTCGATTATTTACAGACCACCGTCATATAGCTGGAATATTGCTTAGTCTGGCATTGAACAACAAACAAACAAAAGCAAATGCCATTTAAGAATATAATAACACACAAGGATCGATTTAAGGATGAAATGTGCACTGTGAGATAGGATAAGTATTTATGTAAAATATACAATTTTGAACAAAATAATGATTATCCTAATCTACCTTCTATCAGTGGCCACAGGCAATTTTCCAGTGATTTATCCAGGATTCTAATCTTGTCAACTTTTTTGGTTCTCTCTGCATACAGTAAACACATTGTGCCTATCTCCTTCTATTAGGTGTCAGCTTCAGAATGACCGCAATGAGACCTACCTTCAGTATTTACGACAGAATATCACTGAGCATACACAGATGGTGATATGTCTCTGTCCCAACAACAAGAAAGACAGATACGATGCCATCAAGAAGTTTTGCTGTGTTGAACACCCAGGTACAATTTCAGCCATCTGCTTTTATCTTGTATGTTTATCTTGTATATTCATAGCTGCCAACGATCCGTGAAGATCCAGGGTAGAATTATGCTGAATAGGTCTTCAGCAACCCTTGCTTGCCGTAACAGGCGCCTATGCTTGTCGTAAGAGGCGACTAACAGGATCGAGTGGTCAGGCTGGCTGACTTGGTTGATGCATGTCATCATATTCCAATTGTGCATAATGATGCTCATGCTATGAATCACTGGATTCATTCCAGACTCAATTATTTAATGACTGCTGTCACATAGATGGAATATTGCTGAGTTCGGAGTAAAACTGCAGTCATTCTCTCATTTAAAGTGGGGTAGCAAAACGTTAAGGATCTTTTATTGACCCGTGAAGATCAGGGGTGGAATAGGTCTTCAGCAACCCATGCCTGCTGTAAAATGTGACTGTTTGTCGTAGGAGGAAGCGACTAACGGGATTGGGTGGTCAGGCTCGCTGACTTGGTTGATGCATGTCATTGATCCCAGATGCGTGGTTTGATGCTCATGATATCTGGATTGTCTGGTCCAGACTCGATTATATACAGACCGCCATGATATAGCTGTAATATTGCTGAGTGCCAAAATGTAACTCCATAATACCAGCCTAGTTCGGCAAGGGTGGAAACTGGACTTTTATAGTCAGTTAACTCCCTTGCCTCGGGAAGATGCTTTTATTTAAAAAACACTGTACTTGTGAGGCGTTAAACAACAAACAAACCAACTGTGAAGATGACAAATGTTGTTGGGTGTCACAGTAAGGACCTCCTATGTTCTTTTAGACAGCCATGATTTACGGGGTAAGATGAGAAAATTGTAATCGAAAACCTTCTGTTTATTTCCAGTACCAAGCCAGGTAGTAGTTGCACGGACTGTGAGCAAGAAGCAGATGCTGATGTCTGTGGCGACCAAGATCGCCATTCAGCTGAACTGCAAACTTGGAGGTGAAGTTTGGGCAGTGGAAATCCCGGTAAGTAATCAACGCCTACCTCGTGCCGCCCCTAGGGATTTGGAGTTAGAATAGGACCCCACCAACATGCCCCAAGTCTCAAGACATTTTCTGTAAGAATTGCCAAATTGGAATAAACCGTTTCCCAGTTAGAGCTCATACAGAACAACTAATTTTATGACTTTGTAGAGGTGAATGTATTTTACCCATATCAACAGGACCAAAAAAGTGGAAGGTTTTTTTTGTGTGCTCAGGTTTACACTATTGTATTGATAAAATATGAAAGCACATTGTCAAAATACCTCTGAATTAAGACACGACATGGGTACAATGCTCTCTGAATTAGACAAATTAAGCAATAAAAGCAATTCCTATTTGGAACAAACTGATTTTTTGCCTGCCAATGGTGCTTAATTTAAATTCTAGATAGATCCTGCATATAGAGTTGCATATACTAGGGACATGATCATTGGGGCCATTCAATCAGTTGGGTGGGGCTCCTGGTGTAGATCCCAAGGTAGCTTTCTACATGATAAAGGATAGCCATGCTTTCAAAAATGCTGTTGGACTCGTGGAGTATAGCTTAGCTTGTGAACAGATACATTAATAACATAGCATGAAAATTTCTTTTAATAATGTCAGATCTTTTAAGACAATATTCTTTTTGAATTGGGGGGTTACGGGTGGTGATTTGCTGTGCAGTGTTGCCTCCCTTGGGCACGCCAGAAACCTATGATTGTGGGTTTGAATCCTGGTTCAACACGATTATGTTTCTAGGTTTGTCAGCACCATACCAGTGCCGTGGGTTACACCGAAGTGGTAAACGTCTGAGACCTGCATCACTTCGGGCTTTCCTCCAACATAAAGCTGACACGATGTGATATAACTGGAATACTGTTAAAAGCGGCATTAAACCCAACTCACTATTTTTTAATTGATATGTGATGTTTACTCTCCTCCATGCATGCTGCTTATGTCGACCTATATGTCATGTACTCCATTTGCTGAAAGAAACGCTTTTAATCATGTACGGAAGTGTGAACATGACCGCAAATGAAATGTCGTTATTGTTGGTGGGACAGCTTAGCCAACCAGCAAGCTAGCTGGATCATGTAGTAGATCGACTTGCTTCTGCCGGTGTTGTGTGCTCACGATAACGATGACATGCATCAACCAAGTCAGCAAGCCTGACCACCCAATCCCGTTAGTCACCTCTTACAACAAACATAGTTGCCATTTACCGCAAGCATGGGTTGCTGAAAACATATTCTAAAATCAAAGCTCATTTATTTAAGGGTGCCCTTTCCCCGCGTTGATTGTATACAACTTTTGGTTACATAATAGTTTGAACAACCAAAACCAAAAAGGAGACTGCCCTCCCACCCTATTTTCAAAAGCTATTGCCTCAGAACCAATTCTTTTATTTTTTGAAGTCTTCAAAGAGGCTCAAGGTCCTAATCTTTCTACTTAATAATTAATATCGTTGAAACTGTCTAAAACCAGACTTGGGAACTCTGCGTTCCAATTTGGTATTTTTTTTAGACATTTTCTGTAGATCCGGAAGCCTGGATATTTTCCTGTAATGCTGATGTTAAAACCTTAGTTTAGTGTGTGGCGAAATTTGTGATACTATTTTTGAAAGCCTCAAGGACCTTTTGATTCCCCTGCTTTCTGACTGACAAGCATGCTTTATTTCCCCTGATAAATGTGTTGATTGTTCTTGTAAAAGTACATTTGTGGATCCATAGTGTGATTCGATATTTCAGAACCCATGTGAAATAACAAAGATTTTTTTCAAACAACGCTAACAGCCAATTCTATACACGCCTTCACAATCTCATTGTATCAGGTTTTCAGATCTGTTCATTTTCAAAGACATTGACTGATAATCATCAAAATGTCTTATTGATTTTGTTCCAAAATTAGGGAATGATATAGAGGAATATTCTATTAAATGTTGATGAAATCATGGACATGTTCCAATATGATTTGCTTTGTGTAAAATCACTATATATTTAGCATAATATTAAAATTCAGAATCACAGTATTGAAACCTTCAGTAGAACATGCTTTCTTGCTATACGACTTTAATATTCAAACTAGCTGAAATATTTGATGGTTGTTGGGATCGACTGCTACCACGACTCTGCGAAGAAGGGTCGCTCTGTGGGTGGAGTGATGGCCAGTCTTAACCTGCTTCTCACCCGCTACTACTCACGCTGTACCTTCCAACACAATATGCAGGAGTTGATGGACGGCCTAAAGATCTGTATGAATGGTTGGTTTGACTGGCTGCCTGACATTCAGTTCTTGCTGCGGTTTCAGCAGTGGTGTTTGCATGAAGCTTTAGCATGTGCTTTGAAGATGGCGAAACTGTTCTGGGTCATTGATTGAAACACATTCATGAGTATTTAAAAATATAAGTCTTTATATCCCATTGTGAATATTAAGCATTGTCAGTAATGCAGTTGATTCAAATAGGGCAAATAGAACTTGAAACATTTTTTGTCTTATTTAATCCACTGGCACTACTGAAAATTGGTAGTTTCAGGATGTGTTTCTTTCAAACCTGGAGACCTTTGCCATCAACTGCGTTTTTTCTGATCACTAGTTTGAAACATGCAGGTGCTTTTCTGTAGCTGAGGAAAAGAAATCACAAACTCTGGTGATCATTGACACGGGCCTCTAAGTTGAACATTTGCAACAAGTATGATTACTGGCAGTCAATACCAAATATTGACAATATTGCTACAATACCATTGATATGATTTTAGTGGCTATGAGATATTGCTGATTTGCTGCCTGTTTATTTTCAAAAAACATTTTTTAGCCCTTCCTCCCTCCCCTGTATGTGTACTGAAGGATTATGTAGTAATCAGCCTGTCCGTCCATCCGTCTGTAATCAGTTTTTGTCCAGACGATATCTCTAATTCTTATAGGTATTCTTTTATGAAACTTTAGACATACAAAGACCAGGTTGTCATCTGGTGCCTTTGGCTGTTTAGGAGTTTTTAGAATTTTTATTTTCCCACGTTTCCACGGCAGCATGTTTGACTTTTGTCTCTGTTCATGGTGGTGTTTTTGTCCGGATCCTGCCTCCGAAACTAACAGGCATTCTTTCATGAGACTATGCAAATACGAGGACAAGGTTGTCAGCTTGTGCCTTTGGCTGTTTAGGTATTTTTCAAGTTTGTTGAGGGTGTGGGGATTTGTCATCTTCTGATGACTCCTGTTTAGAAAGGGGCTGTGGGGTAGCCTAGTGGTTAAAGTGTTTGCTCGTCATGCCAGAGACCCTGACTTGATTCCTGACACAATGTGTGAGGCCCATTTCTGGTGTCCCCCACCATGATTTTGCTGGAATATTGCTAAAAGCAACATAAAACCATACTCTGTCACTTCCTGTTGTTTAGAAAGAGTCATTGAACGCACAAAATATGTCGCTTAGAGGCCTATTGATATGCAGTATGATTGATTACTAACATCAGCTATGCATGTTGCCAGGAATTTGGCATTGTTACCTCTATTCATTCATTTTTTTGTTCATTATTAATTCATGACTGTTTTTGCACGTTCAGCTGAATTACACGATGGTCGTTGGTATTGACACCTATTATGACTCCGCCAGGAAAGGTCGTTCTGTTGCTGGTGTAGTAGCCAGTGTGAACAAGAATCTGACCAGGTATTACAGCAAATGTACCTTCCAATTCTCCCACCAGGAGTTGATAGATGGGCTTCGGACATCCTTTACAGGTAAGATGCAATTTCTGTTTTAGCAGACAAAGACGCGTTTTTTAGTAGATCCATGCAAGTTTTCCTGGGCTTGATATTTGGCAGTAAATTACATTGGTTACTGTCTGCAGTGTCATTTGTCAGTGAAATTTCACAATTGATTATTTCAATAGGCTTGCGGACTTGCTTGATGTATGTCATCGTATCCCAATTGCGAGGATCGATGGTCATAATGTCACCGTATCCCTATTGTGTGGATCGATACCTATGATGTAAATCACTGGATTGTATGGTCCAGACTCGATAATTTACAGACTGCCGTCATATAGCTGAGTGAGGCATTAAACAACCAACAAGCAACCAAACAAACTTTTTTTTCAATTATAGTAATTTAAGCATCGTGGTAATATAAGGGTTCAAAGCATCACTAATAAACAATGCCAATGCATCATCACAACGCTTCTGCTGTCTACTTATGACTATGGACCTGCGTTGCAAAGGAGAGTAGCCCCCACTTGGACCAAGTGTACAGTCGACAGAATGTCTTTCTCCTGTTAACCAAAGAAAATTTTGGATTTTGTCTAACTCGTTTTGGAATATTCATAATTAAAATGGTATTATGTAGTAATATATATAAATATTTTTGTATATATTCAGGTTTGTACAATGCATCATATAGATCTACTGTGGCCATTGCAAATTTGTATATTCTAATGCTGATTTGATTGTTAATGTCTTGAAGGTTCTTCTTGGCTTATCTTGACAGCCTCATTTATCATGTTTATACATTAAACATTGCACTGCCTCCGTGGTAGGGCGTCCGCCCGGAGAGCGGAAGGTCCAGGGTTCAATCCCCGGCCGCGTTATACCAAAAGGCTGTGCCTCACAATATATTCTCAAAAAACATTGCTTGAGAACCATTTTATTTACATTTTGTTACATTTTTCTTTAAGCCTAATCCTTTGAGTTTTTAGCTGGCTCTGCTTGACTGATTTGTAGTAAAATCACAACTTTGTGGACTGGTAAAGTGTTATTGCCCTTATATTTTACTGGCTGTTGAGGACAACCATGAATGGATACTTAATAGTCCCTGACTATGATGAACTTACAATATATTTTCTATTTTGTGTGTATTCACAATGATGCGATGTAACGCAAACATAAACGTTGCCTGTTGCAGGGGCGTTCAAGAAGTTCCATGAAGTGAACAACACACTGCCTGAGAAGATCATCGTGTACCGAGATGGTGTGGGAGACGGACAGCTGCCGGCTGTGTATGAGCACGAAGTGCCACAGATGATACAGGCCATCTAGAAGAGTGGAAGCGCTGAATATGAGTATGTTGCACGTTTTGACCAGGCCCTAAAGATACGATAATACTTGTCATTCTCTTTCAGATTAAATCCTCCTTGGGGCACTTATTGCATTTTCCTTGCTCAAGAAAATCTACATGACATAGTTGTAACCATTTTCCTTAATAAAAAATGTTACCACACAAAAAACTTCGTTTTTGTATGATATACGACCACCCTTACGGGGCCTCACCCCAAAAAGCGCTTCACGCCAGGGGGAGCAACTCACACCCAAATCACTTTCCTTATGTCATCTGTAAGAGACAGACGTGTTGATTTTTCACACAAGGCAAAAATGATATATCTATCGTTCGACAGGAACCATGGCTGACAAACTGTATGTATGGTACATTTCTTTCATTGCAAAGGCGTACTACGTCGCATTGTAAAGTTATAGAGTTGTAATTATACGCCACGTGCACGGTACCTTTGTGTACGGGTGTCCATATTGTAGTTCCACGGGCTGATACATGTAACACCAAGGCCATTAGAAACGGCTTGGGGTTTTGTTATATCATACAGCATTGGTCTACAATTTTTTCCTTTACAAAAACCCAAGGTGGTGTGTTCATTTATAAACTACACTTACCTTTTTTACAGGTTTTACACCTTAGCGCGTCACACGCCCCTTTGGTGTTATAATTATACTACGACATTGGCTTAGTATCGCGTTACAAATCGCATTCTACATTACGCCTTTGCTTCTAGTTTCACAATTTCTGCACGTATCTTTCCGATCTTTATATCACACTGATACACTTTAATACCCTTCCCGCCCACCTCAGAAATTAGGGTCTTGTCTTGTTTGTCTGGCGGAGGACATTGCCTTTACCCCCTGGGGCCCCCAAAAAGAGACAAGTTGACTTGTTACACTTTAAAGAGGTCTATTAAAGGCGGGGGGTAGATATCAGATCTACTAAGACATCCACCATCCCCCCTCCCCATCTAAAGACGGGTAAACAAGCTGCCGAGACTGTCTCCCCCGCTCCCTCTCCGGGGGCCGGTGGAGAAGGCTCGTGGGTCCCCGTAGTAAGCACTGCACCCTCTCCTGCACTGTCTTTGGCAGACTTTTCAGCGTTACTTAAGTCGATGATGGAGGAGGTGAAGTCTTGGCTCCGGCAGGAGCTACGGGCCTTCCCCGTTGTCGGCGCCGAAAGAGGGGCTTCGAGACCTTGTGTTATGCCCGGCGTCGGCCGAGGCAGGCCACTTGGTCTCTGGGATGATCCGAGACCGGGCTTCGGCTTCGGCTCCGACTCGAGGTCGCTCCCCAGCTCCCCAGGGGTGGCGGGCGCCGGTCTGTGCACTACCAACGCACAATTTTCTGTAGCGGAGCCAGACGCCTCTTCCGAGGCCGAGTCTTCCACTAGTGGATACCTAGCCCAGTGCCAGGTGGGTTCCCTTGAACCTCCGGCACCTCGGCACCTCAGCACTGGGACTCGGCTTCGGGCCGGGTGCGGGACCGGATTGTCCAGGTACTGCCTCAGGTGGCTGCGCCATGCCAGACTCGGAGACCCCCAAATTGACTAAGGTCAAGCAGGGCCTGCGGTTGCACCCCCCCACTCCCCCACCTCCCCTTTCCTGCGTGCGGTGCAGAGTTGAAGGCTGCTTACATATGCTTCGAGGAGCAATATCATAATGCATGCCAACAGCTCCATGTGTCCGTACACTCCGCGTATCTGTTGGCTGTACAGAGGGAGTTAGCGGGAGAGGGGCCGGCCAACTCCGAAGTGCAACTAACGGAAGTTCAGTCATCTTGCACGGGACGCTATTCGTAGCGGTGCCTCGCAGATGATGTGCGCATTTATGGGCTTGCGCAGGCGGTGGATGTCGGTATCTAAATACTTGACTTACACACGCCAAGACCTACTTGCTTTGCCGTATAAGATGGGTGCCACCCTCTTCCCTGGGGCTCAGCAGGTGGTCCGAGAGGCTGCTCAATTGTATACTCCCATCAAAGACTTGTTGGAGGTACCAAGCGTTAAAACCACGTAAGCGGGCCTCTCCACTTGTCCCCTCCTCCGCTGATGCACGGGTCAGAAGTCCACACCTGCTTGGAAGCCGCCGCTTCTTTCAGGTATAAGAGCGCCGGGAGGAGCAAGAGAGGCACGGGCCGGGGCAAGGCAGCTGGTCGAGGCCAACAGCTTTTTCGCGGGGCTGGGAACCTGATGGGTTCCTATTAGCGCCCGAAGAGCCCCAGGTGGACCCACAGTTGCAAGTTATCGAACTGCCGCCAGCCGGGGTCCACTGCCTCCAGCCGGATGTCCCTGTAAGCGGCCGACTAGGAGACAGTTACATCACAGTCCCCGGACCCCATCATCCCCTTTCGGGGATGGCCATTTGCCTCGGGGGAAACATCATCCGCCCCTCCCCTTCTCAGGGATAAAGCTCACTCAGGTGCCTGCTACCCGAGAGAAGGCGGAATTCCTCCGTGCCAAGGTCGACACACTTCTTATGAAAGCTGCGATCAAACCGGGTCCCGAGGGACAGGAAAGCGAGGGCTTCTACTCTACTTATTTCCTAGTCACCAAACAGTGATCTCAGCTGTCGAGACAGGAGAAAGGCGTATTTTAAGTCTATTGACGGTAGCCAATCTCCACATACCCATACACCCAGAGTTCAGGAAATACCTGAGGTTTTCTTTCGGCGGGAGGTGTTATCAGTTCAGGGTTCTACCATTCGGGATCTCCACGAAAAAGCCCCGAGGGTGTTCACAAAGCTGATGTTGTTTCCTGCCCAAGTGGCCAGGTCGAAAGGTCGGTTCTGCCATCCGTACCTCGTCGACTGGTTACTATCCCTGAGTCAGATAGCTACACAAGAAAGTGATAGACATTCTGATCACTCTAGGGTAGATGGTCAATCTCAAGAAGTCAGATCTGAGCCCCACTCAGAATCTAGTCTTCCTAGGGGCTAATTTCAACACGGTGAGAGGACGTGTATCTCTGTCACAAGATATCAGGTTCCTTAAGCGCAAGTCACACTGCTCGTACATGGCTCCATTTACTGGACAACATGGTGGCAACAGTGGATGTGGTCTGGCAGGCGCGCTTGAGAATGTGCACTCCGTTGACTATGGGCAAACTCGGAAGATCTCGAGACTGTGCTCGAGACTCCGTAGTGGCTCATTACACACCTCCAGTGGTGGACCGAGGTCGGGAATGTGTCCCGGGGGCTCCCCCTCGACACTCCCGTTCCGTCTCTCACAGTTCATACAGACGCGCATTCCCCGGCTGGGGAGGCGTTCTGAATGATCACACTGCCTCGGGACTATGGTCCCAGCAGGAGATCAAACTGCATATCAATGTGCTAGAACTGATTGGTTGGTTGGTTGGTTGGTTGGTTTGTTGTTTACCGCCGCACTCAGCAATATTCCAGCTATATGATGGCGGTCTGTAAATAATCGAGTCTGGACCAGAAAATCCAGAGATTGATATCATGAGCATCGATCCACTCATTTTATCAATAAAATAGTGTAAACCTGAGCACACAAAAAAAATCTTCCACTTTTTTGGTCCTGTTGATATGGGTAAAATACAATCACCTCTACAAAGTCATAAAATTAATTATTCTGTATGAGCTCTAACTGGGAAACGGATTATTCCAATTTGGCAATTCATACAGAAAATGTCTTGAGACTGGGGTTATGTTGGTGAAGTCCTATTCTAACTCAGAATCCCTAGGGGCGGCACTAGGTAGGTGTTGATTACTTACCGGGATTTCCACTGCCCAAACTTCACCTCCAAGTTTGCAGTTCAGCTGAATGGCGATCTTGGTCGCCACAGACATCAGCATCTGCTTCTTGCTCACAGTCCGTGCAACTACTACCTGGCTTGGTACTGGAAATAAACAGAAGGTTTTCGATTACAATGTTCTCATCTTACCTCGTAAATCATGGCTGTCTAAAAGAACATAGGAGGTCCTTACTGTGACACCCAACAACATTTGTCATCTTCACAGTTGGTTGGTTTGTTGTTTAACGCCTCACAAGTACAGTGTTTTTTAAATAAAAGCATCTTCCCGAGGCAAGGGAGTTAACTTACTATAAAAGTCAAGTTTCCACCCTTGCCGAACTAGGCTGGTATTATGGAGTTACATTTTGGCACTCAGCAATATTACAGCTATATCATGGCGGTCTGTATATAATCCAGTCTGGACCAGACATTCCAGATATCATGAGCATCAATCCACGCATCTGGGATCAATGACATGCATCAACCAAGTCAGCGAGTCTGACCACCCGATCCCGTTAGTCGCCTTTTACGACAAGCGTAGTCGCCTTTTACGGCAAGCATGGGTTGCTGAAGACCTATTCAACCCCAGATCTTCACGGGTAACTAGAACTGAGAGCGGTCAGGTTGGTGTTCCAACACTTCCCGGATCTGCTTTGTGGCCAAGTGGTTCGTCTAGAGATGGACAACCAAACGGCGATGTCTTACATCCGGAAGCAGGTGGGAACGGCGTCTCCGTCGCTTCGACGAAAGACGTGGCAGTTCCTCCTATAGTGCGACTCTCACGATATCAGGGTGCTACCTGTTTATCTCCCGGGGGTGGACAACGTCCGTGCGGACGCTCTGTCTTGCCGGATCCTCGCTCCTCACGAGTGGAGGCTCGACCCGGGGATATTCAGGATTTTCTCCCTGTTATACAGGCCGTTACAGATCTGTTTGCGTCTGGGGTGAATCACCAGACACCAACGTTCTGCTCCCGGGTCCATGACCCGGGGTCGGTGGCACCGGACACCTTCCAGCTAGATTGGACGGACAGTTCTGTGGGCATTCCCCCTAGTACCTCTGATTTCCAAGGTCCTGTCTCAGCTAGGCACTGAGCCTGCGCGATGAATTGTGCTCATGGCACCTCTTTAGTCGGCGCGGTGTTGGTTTCCAGTAATACTCAGGTTTCTGGCCCAGCCTCCTGTTATATTACCTTTACGCCCGGACCTCCTATCCCAGACCGGGGCCCTCCACCTGAATCCCAGGATTCAATGGGTG